TTAGTATGAATCTGGAAAGTCTCTTTTTCTAGAGGGGATGCTGCCCAAATTTCTACAAAATCAGGGAGTTAGACAAAATTTGACTTTCCAGAGTTAGAAATTATTTATATTTTTCATATTTAGACTTATATAAATTCTAGAAAGACATTTTTTCTACGGGAAGCGCTGCCGAAAATTTCTTAGTTCAGAGGAGTTAGATTATATTTCGACAGGTGGCGATTCTGGCGATCCACCCTGAATTATGGAGGTTCTGCCATTAGTTTACTTTTGTTTTGGGCACTGGCTTAGAGGTAAGCTTGGACTTAGTTGGAAGGTAGCTTGAGTAAGAATGTGCTATGGAGGCTTATCTCCCATATGCTGATGATTTAGCGTGGGCATTTGACCTATCTTGTGTTACAGGTCCTTTGGGGTGTCTGATTCAAGATCAGGAATAGATTCAGCATGATCCCTTGAGGATCGTCTTCTGTTATCACAGATAACAGGTCGGTTGCCGATTCGTCGGTCTACGACTCAATTTCAAATCTCCCTCCACACTCAACCTAAAAGGCTTTAGCCCTAGTGGTTTCGTTGTTTTATTAAGGTTTCACCCGGATTTTTATTGAATGGCCATTTGACAAAAGTACTGAGTATTTAATTAAGGTTGGTTGGACAGGAGGTTGGGGCTTGCATGGCTAAAGCGAGGGGTATGAGTGTCGAAGGTGGTTGGGGTTGACTCCGTGTAGTGTGTGGGCTGTTGATTTGGTTCGTTGATGTGATTGCAGGTATGTGTTGTGAATCAGATTTTGGATTTGGTTTTGCCTACGATCGCATATATATGTATTATTGTGAGAGACCCAAGTGAGACCGTGAGAAATGATCATCACATACTTAACCCTTATATACGTATACATAGGTATACTTGGGATAAGTGTTTGCATGGGTTGAAAGGGCCCCCATATTAAAGCCCTACTCAAAAGGTGAGACTGAGGGGCTTAGGGGAGGCCTCTCCTTCTATTTTTGTTTCTTGCTTTTTGATGATTTTCTTAGTCGGACGTTTGGTCCTGGGCCGGGATTCGAGGTCCTTATCCAGGACACCCCAAGCCATAGGCTCTGCAGGGTAGGGGTTTTCCCTCGCGCAAAGCCTATTTAATTTGCCTATCGAGACACTCAGGTCAAGAGCCGGAGGTGCCGCGGCGGCTGCACGGCTATTCCTTCAGCCGTGCAATGTCGTGAAGGGTTAGGCCCTCACGACACTTCAAGTCTGACACTTGAGTGTCATAAGCAGTACTTGGATCCACGAGGGACCGCTTGACTATGGGCACTACATAGTACCCCATTATTGCGACTGCTGCGTACGCCTGCATTGCAAGTCGATATGAGTAGGCCCTGCGTCCGCGCGGTTTTATACTAAGTTCAGCGCGCGACGCCTATCCAATTTCCGCATTGGAAAGTTATGGGTTGGCTACCGAGGAGCTAGGAGCGTTGTCGCGTTGTTTTTGTTGTGTCGTTTCATATATGTTTGTTTTGTGTGCATGTGTGTTCGTAAAGTGGAGTGCGCGTGGTGTATGGGATGCGTTCTAGTCGACCGACGACGAGTCGCGCTTAGGACCTCAGGCCCCCCAAGATGTCGGTTTGCGTGCGGGTCCGATAGAGGCGTATTACCGCGCGTACCCCCTATGCTACAGCGAACGAGAAACGTCCTCGGCTGGTCCACCTCTGCGATTGCAACTGATTAGCTTTCGTACTGTGGACTGGTAGCTCGGCGGGGATACGCCCACCGAAGGGAGGTGACAGCTCCCG